ATGGACAAGACAACAACAGCTGCCTTTTATGTGAGACGAGAATGTAAAGTAATACAAATTTTTCACCCTACATTTTATGGTACAGTGGTTAGCATATCTAGCTAGCAGTCAATGAAAGACTACGAGTTCCCGGCGAGAACGTTTTTCAAAAATCCTGCTCATAAAAATTCGTATGATTTTGCATCATTTAATCATTCTTCCCTGATAAATCACAAATTTATTGTCATTGGAATCAATTTTTTAATATAAAATAAACTAAATTCAATCATCGACATTCATTTTGCCTACATTCGTGGACCCTGTGGAAATTTTGGAAATGGGAAAGCTGATGCTGTAGCATAGCAACCCACGAAACGTCACATTGTTTCAGTCTCCGTATTCCTGTTTCACATTGGAAGCGCTTTTATAGAATGATGCTATCTGTATTTGGAACAGAGAATATCTGGCCTCACAAAATGCATAATGGACCAAACGATTTTTCCTACAATTTTCCACAGGATAAAAGCTGATCAATTTTCAACAGGTTTTAAATTAGTTTAATTTTTGACAGGACACGGCAATTTTAAAATTCAATATTTTATTATTTAAAGCAATCTGGATTGGCCTCAAGTGCTTTGTGCAGCTGCGGTATCAGCGATGAGAATGTTAAGCATAGTCTTCTTGAATGCATTCATCATGTCCAGCAGAAGAGATACTTCAGGCGACTTTAAAGCATCTTTCTTTATCTTGGCCACCAATGTTTTCTGAACTTTTGGGACTAAAGAGACAATGTCTGTTTTCCATTTCATTCTAAGTTTAGGTTATTGAGTTATCATTATTTTATTTTATTTTTCTTTTGATTATTTTCTTTCTTTATTTATTATTTTACTAATTTATTTATTGTTTTTCAATTATTTTTACCCATTTGCAGGTATTAGTGTTGTGGTGGAACACGAGGAGTTAAAATCAGAGTTCATAAAATAAATAAATAAAATATATTTACTTATTAAAAATGTTTACTAAATAATAAACCCTTCCTAATAACAATTTTAATAAATAAAATTTTAATTAATATAAATATAATTTAATTAAAAAGCGTATCTTTAAGACATTTGCAACTTTAAGACTTGTTGAGAATAATCACACGTACTCCCCGTTCTTGTTTTAATGTCATGTATTTTAACCGTAACTGTTTTATACTTTTGCTTAGGTTGATCTGGCAACAGTTGTAGTAGTCTTTGGTCATGGTTTGATATGTAGGTATGGTTTGTATTCCATGTGCGCGAAATTCCATCATTTAATAAAGCCTCTACTTAATTATCATCGGCTTCTGATTCACCTTTTTTAAATCTTTACAGCAGAACGTGATTTTGATATTGAACACGCTAGAATTCTCGTGATGTCGCTGAAGTGCTGCGAAGGATTACTAAACGTAGCCGGATATCATAGGCCAAGGATGACCAAATTCCGGCTCTTTGGTCTTTTACCTGCGGATATATTAAAAAGCAGTAATTTTATTTTGAAAATATATATACGTATTAAGTCAAGACTTGTGCTTGTGTTAGACAGAGGCTGACTTCAGAGTATCCACACAAACATGTGATGAATATTCTTCAGTCGCAGGAAAAAGTACTGTGAAGATCTCGTTTTCCCTATCTACTCTAGAGCCGAGGTATGTCAATATACCTGTGAAAGTGACAATATGGAAATGTCTGTTAATTTTAAGTAATAATTGACAGATACTGCTATCTCTTTAGATTTAATTTGGAAAAAGACTAATTCAAATCATGAGCAACAGAAAGATTTATTTAGCAATATCATTTAGGTAATAAAATGTGACTTCCATATTTTCACAATAATTCTTTACTTCATCGCAATTTTTACTGTGAAAGTCAAGATTACAGAACACTAGTAGATGAACTTGGGCTCAAGTCTCAACGAGAAGGCTGGTAGAATGGCTTTCAAAATATGTTTTTGAAATTTTTTGGCTTTCAAAATATGTAAAGTAATTATGAACTAGTTCTTCCATGGAAGTCCTCTGCTATAATATCTCATTCTTTCTCTTACTCAGATAACCCTCATGAGATTTCCCGCATTCAAAACAAAACAAAAAACAAACAAACAAACAAACAAAAAACAGATTTTGAAGAATTTCAAGGAAATTTGTCAAAACACACCAGAAAGAATTTAAGATCTGAGTCACCAATGAATGAAAACGTAGATATTGAAAAGAATTCTAAGCGGAGTTGATTTTATTTTTGGAACTTTATTTTCGCAAGCGTGTTTCCAAACAAACTCGAGTTTCCAAATACTCATAAACATTCATAGCCCCCAAGAAAAATATTTCTAAAAATTTACTTTATGTGCACAAAAGTTATATAGGTGTTATGAGAATAACTGCATTCTCACTCGCAAAGTTAATAGAAAAACTTTTTTAAATAAGCGATTAAAGAGAACTATTTACTAATTATTATTCGGAAGAGAATACAAAAGACTATAGGAAGATACGTTTTCTACATCTATTATTTGATATTATATAAGTACTGCTAAATATAGAACAAAATATTGTAAAAATTGCTAAAGTAGATAATGTTTTTATCTAGAATTCTTAGGAAATTTCTAGAATATTCTAGATGTTTTTAGAATACTTTAAGTTGTAATGTTGCGCGCTCCCAACCTGCACGCAACAATAGTGGTGACTGCTATGAACTGGAAAGTACACCAAGTCTTGAGAAGGGTTTAAATCCCTTTTTATTCAACTTTAGAAATTACAGATGCGTGCTCTTGACGCTCACAAACTACGCCGACCCGGCGGTAAAATAAAAATAAGAAACTAAAAATTAATAATAACAAGTGACTACCTACGAGGCTCTCTAAACGTTAACTAACCTAACCGCGTTCTAAGATACCGCTGATAATTCAGCAAACTTCTGAATATTACGTTGAAAGATTTAACTATCTGCCGAGGCAAGCACACAGGCCGAAACGCGTGGTTCTTCAATTTCTAACTAGCCACCTCCACGCTCGTGAAGCAAGAAAGCACACTTTCGAACTCGTTTCCCTTCTATTTAACTCAGATTACTTCCGCTGACAATTTTGAATACTTTGCGCGTTCTACTAAAATTTACATACTCTGGCATTGGCAATTCCAGGGGAAAGTAATGCTTGACAGGAAAGATAGTTTAAACTTAAAATAAATGTTAGTTAAAATAAATATAAACCTACAAAGTGTTTTTAAATAAGCTTGATGGATACTGTCTTAATCCCTTTTATTGTATTATAATAAGTGCATTTTCCAAGAACATTCAAGAAAACTGTGAAAAGTTTCACCTTATATTTTTTTAGGTTGCCTTTCAGGCGAGAGTTTATCTAGTTAACAATTTAAGCACTGATGATACTAATTAGTATCCTAAATAGCATAGTACCAATTAGAATCGTTATATCTGTGATCACGCATTATACTTGATTGCCAATTTATCTTCATAATCAATACGATATCCAATAGAGAGGAAGTTGGGTTACACAGCTGATAAAATTATAACTTCGAACAGAAATCATAATATGGCACGCGTTTTTAAGAATCAATAATTTAATTCCTAAATTTACATTACTTATAGCAGTTTTAATCAATTTTTAAACTGTTCGCCATGTGCTAATAATTAATGTAACAAACAAAGTGTAAATCATTATCTTTTTGTCACTTTCTATTGTGGCCATGTTACTTTTAGAGAAGATAATGATGGTCGGAAAAGCAAAAGCATAAATAAGTCATTAAAATGTTCTAGTGATGATGTAGTATTAAAATCTTACTGAGAAGTATGACGAATAGGTGAACTTGTATTAAAAAATTGTAAAATGTATTTTACAACCCAATAAGCATCTTATGAAGAAATTAAATTATTTAAGCTTAGATTCGATTCCCGGATGCGTAATGGCAAACCGCACATTGAGTTGAACAGTGTTAAACGAATGTCGCATACTGCGCATGCCCAGAAACAAATTTGGCGTAATTATTATGTTGGCGCGATTTGAAAAGAGGATAAATACGGTATGTGGTAGATGTACCGCCATCTGATTGTAAACAAATCCGGCGTTTAAGTCTTCGTAGAGTATATGTGCAATGTAAAGTAATTACTGTGTAAAATTAGATTTTTTTTCCTGTACTGCTCCAACAACTGGAAAGTTGAACGATACGATCAAGTTTAAATTCGATTGAAGAGTGCACAAAATGGGTAAAGGAAGTAGTGTAAATGCAGATGCTCCAATGGATAGCGCGAGCTTCAAACCAAATGCTAGAGATTGCTTTCAGGTATGTATATATTTTCCCATTTCAGTAAATTTGATATATGTGCAATATGTGATATATTGTATTTTAACACATATGCAGTTCATTAACATTTTTTAACATTTCCTAAATTTCTATATAATGTAGCATTAAGAAAGATGTTTTAAGAAATTTGTTTCCTTACTGTTTTAATTTTTTCGAAAAGAAACATCATTTTCGAGAAACTTCAAGAAGAAAGTTATTAGCGTAATTTTATTACAGCTAAATCTGATGCAAGGTACTTGAGTCTTTAATCTCAAAATGTTTTGGTTGAAGTTAATATAAAATAATGTAATGAACTCGTAATGAATTGTGGTATAACTGTAAAGAATTGGTAAAAATAAAATAATTAGCTCAAATTTACTTAACTCCTTATATTATCAAATATCTACTGAATAGAAAAACCTGTTGAAATATTAAATGTAACAAGTTCTATTTTTAAAAGGCAGATGATTGTACAGCATGTATGAATTGATGATGATTTTTAATAATCCTAAAGTAATAGTAAAGTCAACAATAAAGTATATTTTGATGTATGTAATTTTCATCAATGATTACATAACATTGCACTTTAATATAAAGTATGCTTGGATTGTTTTCATGTATGCTATATATTATTGCAAATTAGTTCTTCATAAAATTGTATATTTCTGATGTGAAAAAGTATGTATGCAATCATGCAAGTTGTAGAAAAACATGTACGTGTACTGCACATGTACCAGGAAGACAAGATAACAATTATGACTGTCAATCATCATTTGCTGACTGTATCTGTCAAGCTGACTACACAGACTATAGTAGCCAAAGATAAGTTGTAGAAAGTGTGTTTCAGAGTTGAATATATGAATTAAAGTTAGTAGGATAATTATTCTTAACTAAATAATAAAATTTAAATAAAACCCCTTATTTCATTTTTTATAAATTCTCTTATTATTATGATGTGATTTCACAACCATTGACCCTCTCCTATTGTTAAATAATTCATTCAGCACTGAACAACATATTATTTTATTGGTAAAAAAATAATATATTTTGTGTGTATGACCACTTGGTCATACACACAAAATATATTATTATAATCTAAGATTTTTCAATACTTGAATCATCCTTTTAAAGATTTTTATAAAATGATTTTTTTTTAATTTCAGGCATTGGCACAGTGAATGGCAGCTGAAAAATTTTGACCCTTGTTTCTGGAAGTGAAATGTTAGATGTAAGTAATGATGTCTGAGACCCTTATCACACGGCATTTGTTTCACATGAACAACTTGTTTCGGACAATTTTTCTGCCTGGTTTACTATTGAAAGAAAGACATGCAACGTTTTCCTTCCTTTCTAAAAAAATTGCAAATTGTTCGTTTTCAATCAATCAACTATCAGCTTGTTTGTAATGGGGAAACCAGTTTCCCATGTTTAACCCCAAAGTGATCTATGATAATTGGCTGTTGTGACAAAGCAGAAAAATTGTTGCCAAACAGTTATTCTTCCGAAACAAACTGACGTGTGATAGCATCCTTACTGTTAATAATACTGTGAAGCACTTAATTGTATGCTTTGCTAATGAATATGTACTAGGCAATTGTGGTTATTATGAAAGAGGTGAAATTTCAAATACAATTGTTTCAGTTACAATTATTACAGATATTATTTAATTTTGTAATAATGCTAATTAAAAATATGAATTAAGAAAATGCAAAAATTAGTGTATAAGCATACTAAATAGTTCAGAGTAAGACTTGTACTTAATTTATAGTACGCACTCATTCACACATATGATGACTCGTACACTGATATAAATTTGATATGCTTTTATACTGTTTACATGTCTTCTATATTCAGATTTGAATCATCATCTGCCAACAAATTCAGTTAATCAGGCATTGTTGACCTTATTAGTTTCTTGCAGATGTGTGAACTTTGGAAACATTTTTAGATTTAGTGTAGTTTTTGTTTGCTTTTCAGGTTTTCACATAATATCAACTAGAAACATTACCTCTTCATTTTAAAAGTCAAAGAGTTAAAATAAAAAAATAAAAAAAAATTAATTAGTTAATATCAAACCTAAAATGTTCTTTTATTACACAACTATTATTTAAGCCATCCAAATGGGCGCAATATTTTTATAATACTTTTATTTAATTTTCCAGTATATGTTATTGAAGCCATTCAAATCCCACTTGGGCATTTTCAAGCATATTAGTTGTTGAATATTATGTCTGACTGTAAACACACAGGCAAAGTATGTATAATTATTATGTAATTTAACCTATCTTTCCTTCAATATTTCTTTTTTAAAATTACACGAGACAGGCATACATTTGAGCTTTGATTAACAGACTTAGTGTAGTCGCCATGACGGATAAGAAAACAGATGAATAATAGACCACCCATAATCACCAACATATAATGCAAGGATTTGAGAATAAAGATTGCTTATTAGCATTTTTTTTTTTTTTTTTTTTTTTTTTTTTTTTTTTTTTTTTTTGTTTTTTTTTTTTTTTTTTTTTTTTTTTTTATAATAGTGCACTGAATATTAGATATAAAAATTATAGAACTGAAAGATTTGTCACGTATCATCTTTGCTTATTATTATATATATTGAAAATAAACAGTTTGCTTCTGCAACAGAATAAATATCGAGTGTCTTGAAATGTTTTGTATACCTGGAGCTTTACAGTTCAGTACATTATACAAAGAGCAGTATATATAATGATTATCAGGTCTGCACAGAAATTTTTAATGGAAAATTCTTGTGTATAGATTTAGTTGATATTTCTTATCTTGTGTACAGATTTAGTTGATATTTTGCAAGACATGGCAATATTTCAGACTTTTATTGTAATTACTGTGACAAAACAATCATTAGAAAATTATACACGTATGAAAATTATTAATATTACATTATGTAGCTTATATTAATAATTTTCATACGTGTATATGTAATATTTTGGCAGGCACAGGAATGACCAAAGCTTGACAATATAACTACATCATAGGCCAGGCATTGTTATGGCTGTATAGAAGGTTGCAAAATGACGACAAAGAAGGATTTAGCTTTTTAGATCCCACATCTTTATTCAATTCTCTCAGCAGATCATTTTGCCTTTAGATGAAATTCTCAAAATTATATATTCAATATTGATTTAAACTAAGTAAGATTAAATTTAGACTTTACGTCATATCTGCTTTAACAAAGCAAAGAACAAGATGGGAGGAGCAGCTGCAAGGTCTTGTAGCAGCGGTAGAAGAAAGCAGTCTGACGAAAAATGGCACGTATTCAGTATGTGTACTAGCGGTTATATAACATGCCAGAATGTTCTCGAAAGTACTGGTCTAGGATAAGATCCTGAAACTGCAGTAAGTTAATTATAGGTTGCATGCTCACGCAGAGCAAAGCCACTGTATTTTCTATATTTTACATGTATATAATACATACATTCTTTGTGTCTTGGTGAATACATTCTACCTCGCTGGCAGGTAACAGAAACTGACGATCAAAAGATTGATGAATATTTAATAATTTTGATGAGATTATCTAGGAAAGTAAAATAGTTTAAAACGTATTAAATATGGTTTTCCAGAATGTTTCCTAGCATAGTTTTTAATCTCAGACTAAATGATAACACATTATCTGGAAGTTCATATTCTTGTGTCATAAAGTATGCTTTATTGTAATTAGTCTTAGATTGTAAAGTTAAATTTATGAAAAAATATGATGAGTTAAAAATGTATTGCAGATATTAAACTAGATTTTTATATGCAATTTTGAAATTTTAGAGATCTTGCTTCATGTAATTATTTTTAATGTTTTTATTAAATTCTTAATTAATGCTATTATGCATGCATTAGAAAGTGAAATGAAATAATACTTAGGGATATCATTTGGCTGCATTCTGTTGTTTCTCAGTTAAACTATTCTGCATTCAAAAAATTACTCAAGGATTCTCACGAATACCAGCTCAAACAGTTCCAAAGTATTTCTGCAAAATATACGTAATTACTTAAGAATTGTATCTTTTTGATAATATTTTTAGCCTTTACAAGTTACTGCCAAAATTATTTTGTAAATCAGAAATCTTCGAGGGGATTAGTGTGTCTCGCATAGTTACCCTGGTGCCACACTATAACACTGAAATTGATAGATGTATAATTGAATGTTTAATCAAAAATGTCTAATTCCTCTTTTATGATATTTCAATAATTGATACTACTGAAACAAGAAATATTGGTACATTAACATTTTCTTAATATTCATTGTGTATTTGTTATGATGCATGTATTAATGTCATTACAAGTTAGCATTTGATAATGTTTGTTTCAACAATTTAGGGTTTGATGAAGTGCCACAGAGATTATCGCTTAAAGAATGCGTGCAGGCCAACCACCAACACAAGATATTAAAAGAGCAATGAAAATGAAGATTTAACTATAAAGAAAAATCTGACTAATATTATTACTCATAACACTTAATTGTTTCGTATTATTGTAAATTTATGCGAGTTTTCCTGTATTCTGTTTATTTTGCAACTTATGTTATTGTAAATTCATGTATGTTTTCATTCTTGCTCTGTCATGCATTTCATACTAATCGTTTGTTGTGCATATTAATTATATGTGTATATTACATCATTGAATTACTGTATTTGAATTTTAATAAACCTTTTTACCATTCAGTAGTACTTTTCCATAAAACCCTGAACATTCTAAACATCCCATATCACTAATCCTCGATTCTAAATAATACTTGAGTTTACTTAATTCATGTATTAATAACGAATTTGAAAAATAATACAATAGTGACATATTTTGAGGTAAAATAAATACTGCTCAATTGGACATTTTAAAATGTTTTTCCTTTCGATAGAGGAACATTTTTTAAGGATTTAATTATTAGTATTTGAATATTGTATTAATACATGATTAATTAGTATATGAATATATTGTGTGTAATGAATAAGTAAGGCAGTGAATAAATTTTGAACAATAATTTCATATGAGGAAATATGATCTGCCTGGGTTAAAAAAATTAATCTTTAAATGCTATTTATGAGATTATATGACTGAAATCTGTAGCCCAAAAGCAAAGCAACCCATCCCCCAAAAAGAAGACATTTTAAATAGTTTCTTCCAAAGCTTGAAATATTTAAACATTACAAGACCCTAAATTTCTAGTGAATTTAAAATACTCATTTCATTCAGTTCAGCTACTGGCCATTATATGAAATTTTCCTAGATTACAAAATGTTCCTCATGATTTTGCAAGGTGAAGACCACAAATATTCTGCCCTTATAACTAATGATGATATAATCAGCATGAAGTAGACTTCAGCGTAAAGAATATGGAACTATATATTTTGCTCTTTGTTTATTAATTAGCTCACTTTTAAAAAATTCATATCATATTCATAATTTTTCTCATTTTCTTAATATTTCATTGAAGTATTTAAATGTTAATTTAATTAGCAATACCTAATAATGTCAAATGCATATATTATTATACAGAATGGGATTCTGACCATAACACTCAGGCAAAGTGATATACATGTTAATTTTTCAACAAGTTTCTGCGTTATGCTTTTTACTCTCTACACAATGTTTAATTTTTAATTATTATTTTTTATTATTTGTAGGACCTTAGGTCCTACAAATAATAAAAAATAATACAGGAGACCTATGTTCACATCTTATATTTTGAATTTACAGTTTTCTTTTGTAGATGACAGACACAGCATATATTCAAAAGAAATTAACATGCTGCTGGATATATGCATGTGTTTTTCATATTTACAGCTGTTGCATGTGATGTTATGTAATCGGGTAAAAAATGAAAGAATTAAGTTTATTGACACCAAAACAAATGCATACTTCGATATAAAGGCTGCATAAAAATGAAAATGGCTAAATTAAAATAGTGAATTGAGGTTGTAGAGTTCTCATTTATTTTTATTAACCAGCTATTTTATGATAATTAGCTTTTCTTTCTTTCTTTCCATTTTCCTGCCAGAATGCTAATTTTGAGTGTATTCAAATGAGGTGAATTCATTTCGTTACTTTTGATTTACGCCATAAATGCTAGCTGATTCTGTATGAACAAGCTGTGCACTCTGTTAATTTGTCCGAGTCTACAAAAGGTTTTTTTACACCTATTCCAAACCTCTGTTGCAATTTCCAAAACATAACGAGAAGTCGCTTAAGTTTTCCAGAGTTCTCACACAGTATATATTACCAAAGTGGGTGAAACTCGTATAAGGTGTAAGAAAGACCAAAAGGAGATTTATTAAATCAAGAAAAGTAATCGGTGGAAAAGGCATTTAATCTTAATAATGAAAAATCGAATTTTACACCAAATATTCAGACTTTTGTAACTGTTTTATATTTAATTAGCGAGAGTTTAAAATAAAAATTACCTTTATATTCATAATATAGGTTACATTCTGTTAATTTCCCATAAATAAACATAAAGAATACATTGACAAAATCATTGTACTAAGCTCTATTTTCATTGTACTTCAAATTTAGGTTGTTTTCATGAAATTCTTTTATTAAACATTAACTTATACTTGATAATCAATCTTCAAGTTCGAAAATAAGTTAACTGTAATTGCATTTGTTTTATGATCAAATATTTTAATTTGGCATTTGAGCATTTCTAATGGCATTTCTTTTTCTGTTTGACATCTCTGCTCTGTTAAGGTTATAACCAGTTAAATTGTTACTGTGTCTCTGAAAAATCAACAGCATTCTTAAACACCATTTTAAAAATATTTCTGTGTGTAGTATTTTATCAGTAGAATTTTTCCTAAATAAATACAGAAGTTGTTATGAAAACATTTGAGAGTACATGTCTTGAAAGAGAAACAGTATTCGTAGTGTTTAGTCAATTATGATATATTAACAGCTATCATAACTTTGCATGTATGTTGTATGCATTATACATATATATATATGCATAAAGACCCAATTTTGGCAATAAGTAGAGCTGTTACAAAATAATCATGAAGTCTAATGGAACGTACTCGTCACACATACTGGGGGGGAATCAAATTTATGTACGTATTTGCCACTCTTAAAGAATTTTTGGGGGGGAATTACAAATGTACCAATTTCTTATTAATATAATAATCATTTGTTAATATCAAAATATTAAAGAAAAATTTATTTCTTAACTTAACTAAGGCCAGCTAAGTCATAGACCGAAATATGTGTTTCTGCAGATATTCAGAACTTCCGGAACTACGAATACATTCACAGTTACAAAATATGTAAAATATATTTCTTTTAAATGCTTGGAATATTCGGAAAAATATCTAAATTCAAAGAAATGGTAAAATACGTTTCACTTGCAGATTCTTTGTTATTTATTTGATTATATCACCATTAATAACAATGTTCACCCCCCAGAATAAAAAATATATTGTTTATGTACTGAAGTCTTGGTTTGTTTCCCTTGACAAGTCAATTAATCTATCATCAATGACAATAGCTACCTTTTAAATACTTTTAATTTTGGCACTTCAAATGTTTGCATTTCAAAATAATATTTCTATGCAGCTTTTAAATAATTTTTAATGCAACAGAAATCTAAATAACTTCAAATGAATTCTAAATAACTGGCTAAAATTCATTCCAATAATTCATCGCTTTAAATTTCTGTTCCTTGCAGATGATACAGGAAAAACCTTTTCTAATAATACATTTCTAATTCTACCAGGAATTATTGATAAATAACCCGATGAAAAAATTGATACAGGCATAGATGGAGAAGATGTAAATAATTATTACGAAATAATGTGAAGCAGTGTTTGCATTCAAAATGTAAGATGTTATACTTATGAAATTCTGCACTTCACTTTGGAACTGTACGAATTTTCGCTCAGAAAAAGACTGAAATTCAGGATATATTAGTTACACTTTTAAGGAATAAAAACAATTCAGAATTTACCATACGTTACATTCGTACATACGCAAAGAAACACGGACATACGTAAAAAATATAGCAAGTGTTTGCAAATAACATTGAAGAAATTTTACAATTCCTTAATGCTGTTTATTTAATTCTTTTAAATAAGAAATAAAAGCGCGAATATACGTTAACAAACTAAGCGGGAAAATCCAGTTTACATTACTGAGAATTACAACATGTAAACAAATTACATCTAAATAACAAATTATTAAGCACAATATATGGTAACAATTATTAAATGCACTGTTAGACAAATTAAAATGAAACATATATTAGAAAAATAAGCAAGTGCAATCGGTATGAACGTTAAAATAACTAATAAAGAAAGTTCCACAACATTGCAGTTGTACACATCACTCGACAGCCATGGAGATCACGAATGAGCTAGCGTAGGGTTGCTTTTAGTCGCCAATATTTCTTCCCACGCCAAAGGTACACCATCAAGCATGCGCAGTAAGCGAAATTCGCTTAACACTGTTCAACTCAATGTGCGGTCTGCCATTACGCTTCCCTTCCCGGATGCTGATCCTCGTGTTAGGTGTTTAGAAAGAATTTAAGTTAGTATTTTTGGGAAAAAATCGTGGGAAGTCGACAGCTGATTTAAAACTAATTTTCATATTTTGAATTAGGATTTTTCCGCAACATTCGTTTTCCTATATCTTTAATTTTATTCTTTCCAGAGAAATGCATACTAGCTAAAAGTAAGAAAAATTTCTAAGTGTGTTTTTCAAATTATTGTTTTATTATTCCCTCAAATTAAAAAAAAAAATTAAAAATGGAAAAACTTTTAAGAAATCTTGACCATTAAGTCTTTCTACGCTTTCGGTTTTTTGTTCAGGTAAAATCCCGTAAAATCAGCAGCTAATTACAATCAAATCGGAGAATAAAAAAACTTGAAAACCAGAAGGAAGTATTTACTATCAAATCTGAAAACGAAAAGTGCCCAGTAATGGTACATAAGTTTAAAACGAGTATATTATAGTAATATATTTTCTTGAAGTGAGTGAGGCAAAAATTATTTACATGCATAAAAACTATGGTAATTACGTAAAAATTGCGAAATCATAGTTAATTTGCTTCAAAACATTTACTCCTAAACAAAAACCTTTTTACTTCTTTCTTAATGATACAAATATTTAGTGCGATCTTGAATATTCCTGAAATCTAACATGCGGCTCCAGTTGTTATGAAATTTGGCCATATTTATCATAAGCTTTATATTCCTTAGATGTGGGTCGAGATTAAGAAACATTTGAAGTTATGTATTTCGCTTCATAATTATCCATTTTAATTTAAAATTAATAATTACTTTGAAATCACTGATTAATTATCAATAGCCATGCAAATTTATTTATTTTTAATCCATTGTTACATTGGTTTTTACTATGCCTCCGCTTTTTCTGTTTCTTTTCTTGAGAAAAGCTATGTGCATGTGCGTGCTAAAACGTTTGGAAGACACTATCGCAGGTGATGGATTCCTAAGTAGTAAGGTTGGATGGACGTGTACCAATTCACAAAAATGTTCACTGAACGCCGTTGATTAGACCTCTTCCATCCATGAATTTTACGATAATCTGTGCCAGATGAAAACCGTGAGTCACTGATAAACACGATACAGATCCAATTCGACACATTACAAGCTTCGCTGCCGCAACTCTAGAGTAAGAATTGTAAGATTTGTGTTAATTAACCAATTATCTTATTATTTAA